AAGAACTCCACCTGATGCATAGAATAATGATTCAAATTGAAATTCTAAGCTAGAAATTGTTGATTAGAGTGATCATTAGACAAACTAAATGAAGAAATGAGCTTGCATCACTTTACTAACGAATCTTTGATACGCCTATTAAGATGTTTATATATTAAAATATTTTACTAATGAATGCATTAACAGTACTTGTTATAAAATAATTATTTATATTTTTTAATATTTTCATTCAATAAATTAAAATTAATCATATTAATTATAACGATCAACTATTATATTTAATTATAATATTGAATTTTCTATTACACTTTGATTTTGTTGAATTTTTCATTCCATTTTCATTAGCTTTGATCTAAACATCATCAGAAATAAAAAGTATAATGACAAAATTCAATCAAACCAAAGTAAAGAGGGGGACTATTTACACCCCAATTTTCTCTCTTCAGATCTTATTACTTTTAAAACCTATTTTTTCTTCTCTTCACATCCTAAATCAAAACACTAATTTGTTAAAAAACCCAAACACCCTATACCCCATTTCTTCTTCTTCACTGAAAACCTTAAACCCTTTAGAGATTAAACCTCAAATCAAACCCCAATCACCCTTTTGATGTTAGATAGATAACTTAGAATCATGAGCAAAATCGTTTGTTTTTTTTTTCATTTTTTCATTTGATTTTGTGTTTAATTTCAAAAGATTCAAGATTTTAAATTTAAGGGTGAGATTTAGGGCAACGATTCAAGCATTTCAAAAATGAATTTTTGAAAATTGTTAAAGGTTTTTGAAAATAAATGTTTGAAAACTTCTTTAACATACTAAAAATTCATTTCTAGAATCCCTTTTCGGATATTTACTTTCAAAAACTTTTGAGAATTTTTGGAAATGTATTTTTAGAATTTTTCAATGGTTTCTAGATATTCATTTTCAGAATCCTTCAAAAACTTTCAAAAATGGATTTTGGGTACATAGTAATCTTCGGCCACTAATAGAGATCAAATAATTTTTCAGTACACAAGAATTGACCTCATTTTGTCATTAGTAGATTAACAAATCCACTAATAGGGACTTCCAATCTTTCAGCTATTAGACACTGTACATTTAATAACATTTGTAATATTTTATAATTCTGATAAATATGCATCTAAGAGGAATCGTTAAGTATAAAGAGGCGCTCATACAAATTAGCTACTGCCCCATATGCAATGGAGCATGACTACCTCATTGCAAATGGTTCAGCAGTCATTTACACGAACACTTGTCACAATTAGTAATTCCTTTCAAATGCACATTTATTAAAATTGATAATATGTTTGGAATGTTATTAACCAAACAATGTTTAGCCGAAAAAGTAAAGGTTTCTACTACCAAATTTAAATATCGCATATATCAGAGAAATCACTATAGACCCATTTAGAGATCATAACGAGAGACATCTAATATTCTCGTGATAGACATTGATCAAAAGATCACAACAAAAAAATTAAAGTAAAAAATTACTTTCAAAAATGCACTTCCAAATAATTACAATACTTTTTGTAAATACACTTCCTAATAATTGCAACATTTTTCAAAAATGAATTTTTAGTAGAATAAAAAATTTTCTAAAAATGCATTTTCGGTATATTGAAGAAATTTCTAAAAATTCATTTCGTATAACTTATTGAGAAGTGATGTAAAAGATAAAAAATAATTAATTTATGAATATTTAAGTAATTTTTTTATTAATTAATATTTTAAAATGTACTTAAACTTTTTTAAAATGCAAATAGTCCAATTCCAAAGTAGATTTATAAAACTCGACCTTCTACTATAATACAATGATAAAATTGCCTTTATCCGTCTCTTTTAATAGGTTAGCTCTAGTCACCGGCACTTGGTCTCTCTCATCGGCATCCACCAAATGCACGTGCAAAAGTCTAACAATCAGCCCACCCGTCAAGGAACGGATGCTTCTTTCATTGGGCCTTGGTAATTTTTTGTTTGGATCGAGGATAAATTTGCTTGGCCCAATTTTCTGGATTCCCAGAAAAATATACGTAGTCATTATTTGTCCGTAGCTCCCTCTTAATAGGACAACTACAACTTTATTATACACTAACCATTAAACTAAACATAAAGATTAATTGTTGTCATCTTAGGCACGCTATGGGTTGAACCAAAATCTCACCATTTTCAAATGCATCGATATGTGGACAGTCAAACCACCATTAGTTTTGGACACGTAATACATAATGTTGACTCAATATATCTATCTTAATCTTCGAGCCATGATATGTTTAACCTAAGATTTAATCATAATTAGAAATAATAATAATTAATACAAAAGAAGATTAGGATATTAATAAATTTAACAATGAGAATTTTTTCTACAAAATATCTGTAAGTTTTGTCTCAATCTTTTTTCCTTTTTTGGATGATTTTAAAAGCATTATTTTTAATATTTTTTTATATATTCGTGATTTTATTTTTGAGTATTTTTTACAAAAATAAAATTAAGTTAATAAAAAAGATAACCCATCCTCTTACCAACTGGAATAACCTAAAAAGAGAATGCATCATTGAGGATTTTGCATGTATAGAAAGTAGGGTTTGGAGGTTTCGTGCTTGCGGGGTTTGCTTAATCATTATTGTTTACTAAAACCAAAGCCTCCCATGTGAAAGAACATTCTTTTGAGATAGTGTCACTCCGACCACAACAAAAACCCGTCCTAGTGGCTAATGCTAGCTATTTTTCCTTACTCCCATAATTAGCATTTGTCATAATTCATCTTTCTCTTTGTTTCTTCAAGTAGGAGGAGCAGTTTTCCAAAAGACAGCTAAGGCTTTCATTGATCAATCTCACTCCCTATGGATTCACCACTTGGATTTTTTTGAGAAAATGAGGGAACATATTTGATGGTAGTTGGGGACGTGTTGAGTTTTGACAGATTTTAGGTTGGGAAGGGAATTTTGGTGACAAATTCTTTGAGCATGTGTCATGGCAGGTATGCCCCGTGAGCAAACCAATTGCAGTAAGTCACAAGTCAGCTCAGTTTGAGGCCCTTCGATTTGGTTTCTTACCTCAAAGGGAGTCCACATTAACTGCCCAATAATGCCAGTCCGTGTGTATTTGTTAAAACTATCAAACTACTTTTCTTTACTGAATAAAGAAAAAAATATGAAAGGAAAATCAAGAAGGAACTTTCATTTTTGGGGTATGTCCCACAAAAGTAAGATCTTGAGTTGTAGGGTAAGGTGTTTGTTTGAGACAAGATCACAGGGTGTGTCCTTGGGTTTATGCGAAGGCACACCCCCCCCCCCCCCCCCGGGTTTTCCTGGCTGTGGTTGCCGAACTCAACCTCCGAATCATCAAGATTTGTCCGGTCTTAGTACCCCCAAAACAAAATCTAAACCATTTGTTTTTCTAAGCCTTTCGTTTTGAAGGATAAGGCCCACACTCAGGCTTCAGTTTTACTCAGGCTCATTACAGAGGAAAAGTCCAAGGGATATATAGGCCTCGATTCAAGGAGGGCTTCGGTCCAACTGATCTCTCAAGGCACAAATTTAAACCCATTTTAAAGAGCAAGCCAATAGCCACTCCCTCAAATTTGCCATTTCAACTTCAGTATTTTATGAAAATGAAAATATGCAAAACCCTCGTACTACAAACCCTATTTCCTCCCATGTGGTGGGACAATGCTCTGAGAGGTACTTATATATCTTAAAATTTATTGGTCTGATGATTATAATGCTCCAACAAATCTTAAGCCATGAACAGATCATACCTAACTTCTTAATACAATTTTCAGAAGTTGGTTCTACCTCTCATCTTTTGGTGGAAGGCGTGACTGATCAAACCCGAGTTCTTAGGTGAATTTAGTTTATCAACCCAAGTGAATTAACCGACAAAGTTTAAAGGTTAAAACTGTGGTGAGGTTGGTATCATCATAATGGATCTGATATAAGCTTTAGACATCATAGCATTAGTCCACGACATGAGAGATGTATCTACCAAGTTCGCGCACATTAGTGTGTTTTGTTTCTTCTGGCAAAATCATTTGAAAGTGACTTTGCTCAACTTTTTGCCATAAGTATTCATTATTGTGATGCCAACCAACCCATCCTTCTCTCAACACAACTGATTTTTTTTGGATACCATTGGTAATTGCTACTATATATGTCTCTGCCTGCACAGTTGAGCTCGTGATCGCTAACCGGGACTTTATTTCTTTACTTGGCTACCAATTTTTTACTTAATTAGGATGGTTCATAGCCTCAACCTTGGTTGAAAATTGGCTCAAGGAGGCTCAAAATCATCTTAATTAGCTAGAAATTGATGTCAGGATTTAAGAATCATATAATTTCCTCAATTTAAAATCACTTTTTTACTTTTTAATTTGTTAGAATTTTTTGGTAAATATGCGACTAATTGATGATTTTATATTTTAATAAAATAAGCTGATAATTTAATAAATATGGAAGAGAACCAACTAAATTATTATACAAGCTTATAATTTTGCACATTTTTATTAGATCATTGTGGTAAGACAGTTGTGTAACCCTTAACCTCATAAATCTTTTATGAGACTGTTAGGGTTTTCCTTTAAAAATGTATATGACTAGTAGTTTTCGCGTCTTAACCCACGCTATATATCCATTGATAGTGATGAATAAGAAATAGAGCAAAGAAGAAGATTATCCTGTCTAGAATTTTAATTTGCTTCTATTGCCCAAACAAGTATGTTATTTAGATTATTTAATTCTGATGTTCTAACTATCACATATAATTTTGAAATTTTGCTTACATAATTTCCTCAAATTTAAAACAATTTGGTTTCTTTTTTCCTTCTATTTCCCTTTCTTTATTTTATTTTCTATGACCTTTTTTAGGCAAAACAATATACAAGGTTATGGATTTTCTAACAACTTTTTGGCTTTGGAGGCACTTGAAAAGAACAAAAAAGTGCATATAAGCAGGCAATAATAGAATCTTGATCAATAAAATAAAGAGACAGCAAAACCACGTAAAATCCCTATGTAGATTAGATACCAATATTTAGTATCTATCCCATACAATTGTGTGTAAACTAATATGAACATTCCCTAAATCATTTGCTTTTTAAATTAACTTCTTAAACTGGGGTCATTAAGCCTGACTAACAAGCCGCCGAAGATGGCCTTGATTGGAGGGCTGATGTTGCAACGTTAGAGGACAATGTGGTGGCAGTGGCAGTGGCAGTGGCGGAGTTCATTTTTGCGGGGCCTTTGTCAAGGGCAGTGGTGGTGACACGCTCACACCGAGGGCACATTGTAAGTGTTGATGCAGGGAGAGGTTCACAGCTATGAGGCGAAATCACTGTTGGCGGCCCTACCTTCATGGCCCTAAGCTCCTCCACCTCCCTTTGAAGCCTTCGGTTCTGTTCGGTCAGTGATCCGAACCATCTCTTCAGGTACTCACACTCCATCTCTGTCTGCTTCAACTTGCTCCTACATATTTGGTTTTTCGTTATTTTCATTATACAAATTAATCAAACATGTTGTAACAAAGCTAATAAACTCTATGAACCCAAAATTTAATTTAGTTAGTTTCATATATATAATCATGTGAGATAACATTCAACATGTCTAGAATTCGAATCCCATAATTTACAATCCCTTTTCATATTCGGAGACTATGATTTCTTTGTAAAAGAAAAGTAACAAACTCTATCAAGATTTTTTTTTTCTTTCATGATATGGTTTTATAATTCCTTTTGTTACATAAAATATGCAAAGGAAACATAAAACATGGGATTTTGAAACTTTCCCAATCTGAATTAGCACAAAAAATGCTACTAATTTCAGCAAGAATGCGAAGGCCTTGTCTATAGCATTTTCTTTTTGTTCTTTATCCCTTTTCAATTGATTGGTTGATTCCAAACGATTACTCAAAGAAAGTCCATGCTTACACACACACAAATATATATATATATATATGTGTGTGCGCGCGCACGCGCCCATGAGATAACAACGACGTGCAAGATCCTTACAATTTCATGTGGCGTGACCAACCCAGCTAGCTGCTTATAAAAACTTGAGAACAGATATGCATTTAAGTATGAAATTAATAAAGCTCTTAAATAAGTAAATACTTTTTGGGATCATCTTTTCATTCCTTTACCGTTTTTTTCCTTTAGCTGATCGTGAATGGAGAGTAATAAATTCAAACTTCGACTGTATTCATATCTAATATAGGTGCATTTATTATCTTATTAAATGCTAACCATTACATACGGCCAAATCATGAAATCATCTATCTATAACTCAAAAGAAACAACAATTTCTATAACAGTCATAATTCTGTACCTAAAATGTCAAACAGTTGTATGATCGTTGTATGATCTGGTAGTGAAGTATTGAATTCTTATTCAATAATCAGAATTTAATTTCTCATAACATCAAATATAAAAAAAATAATTCAAAAATTTGTTCTCAATTACTAGTGCATTGATTAAAAAATGATTATAATAGCAAATTAAGCTTGGGGTTTCCTTTTCCCTTTATTGATTCCATTCAATAATGTAATACACGTATGTGAGAATTCATTAATGCATGGCTAAGTCCAACGAATGATGGGTCAAAGCAGCACTTTGTTAGAGGGGTGATGAGGGCGATGATCTGACTAGCACACGAGGCCAGAAACAGACATGCATATATATTCTCAATTGCAGTTATCATTGTTATATATTGGTGTTTTTAGACAAACCATCATTACTTTGATCCTCAAAGCTCTACCAGCTCATGAAACCAAACCACATCATTAATTCTTCATAGATCTGTTCGGTTACTTGTCGGTCATGTGTCGTTTTTTCTATAAACCAGTTCTAGGTTTTGTTTATGCTTCGTTATTGCTTTTTGTGTCTGTTGAAAGTAGTGTTCTATATCCCTCTACCCCATTTATTGCTCTTTCTTAATTATTATATTCAGCTAAATTTCATGCTAAGCTTTATAATGATAAAATTATTTTGAGGAAAATAATGAACTTTTTCCATTGTAGATGTTAATAAACACAAAGTCTTATACCATATATATGGAACTGCAACTTCCTTTGGCAGCATCGAATCCTATGAAATTTTCTCTGAAAGATAAGTTCTACTAGTTCTCTTCTTTTTAATTAACGAGAAAACGGAAAATTTCATAATAACTAAAATTTTGAAACATCATAAAATATATAAAAATATTGTATCCATAATAGTAGAATTTATTGAATAGCATCATAAAATATAAAAATATTATATCCACAATAACTAAAAGTTTGAAAAAAAAATCCATCGTTTCACTTTATACTTATATTATTAGTGTACGAAAAAATACGGGTCGAATTTGATTCAGATTATATACTTTGTGATATTCTGTTAACGTTTTGATGATATCTACCCTAACCTACTTTTAATCCCTCCCACCAACAAAATAACAAGGACCCAGAAAAATGAAAAAAAAAAAATCTATCAGAAAAAATGGGAATTCATTTAAATGAAGAAATATATTAATTTATGTATATGAATATTTGTATACGTATAGGGTAGAGTAAGCAGTACCTGGCCCTACGGTTCTGGAACCAAACTTCAACCTGCCTTGGCCTAAGATTCAGCTGCAAAGCCAATGCTTCTTTCTGTTTCTGAAACCACAAACTCCAAAAGGCATTAAATAAAGAGATTATCTGATGAATTTATTGGACATTTTATGTGAAAAAGAAATGGTGGTGTTTGGTGTTAGTCAATTATTAAGTTTAATAGGTAGTAGTTTTGAAAATTTACATACAGGGTTTAGGGTATGGTTTTGTCTGAAACTTTCTTCAAGAAGGCGAGACTGTTCTTTTGTTAGACGAAGTTTTTTGCGAGGAGGGGCTCCATTGTAGCTTTCTTCTTCATCTTCCATGCTTGCTGTGATCCACTCATCTTCTGCTCCTCCTGATGGTACTTGGTTTATATCCAAATCTCTCACCGTTGAACCCACTTGATCACCTTTAATGTAATACAGAAAAGGAAAATATATCAAATTTAAAGCTAAATCAATCAATATTCATCAACCACGATCGAGGACGATCATGATAACAGCGAAAAGAAAAGGAAAGACCCTTTTTTGGAAACCATGCATGGAATCCGAGTACAGAAGAACAAAGGCTGAAACCTCATAAAACATGGGATTTTGAAAGGATAAAAAATATTTGATATATATCTTCTCAAAATTAAGAAGCAATAAGTAAAATAAAAGGGTGGGAAAAGAAAGTAAAAGGGATTTTTTTTTGCTTACCAGAAGAAGGAAGAAAAGGGGAAGAAGAGAAGCCAGGAACTGATATTGTCAACTCCAAGTTAGAAGAGCAGGTAGGTAAAACCGCCATGAAAGTTGCAGGAAAAAAAAAAAAAGAAAAGATGACGATTGGTTTTAAGAAGAGAAAAGGTAAAGTTTTTAAAAAGCTATATATAAAAAAGAGAGAGAGAGACAGTATGTTGAATGAAATGAAAGAGAAAAAAGAGGGGAGGTGGATAGATATAGAGGTCAAAGTAATAAATAGATATAATAAATAATAATAAAAAAGGAAGCAAAATAAGAATTAAAGATAGGAAGTGCTGAATCGGTAGGGTTTTTGACTGTGGTCACCAAGTCAAAGGGTTTGACCATCTGATCTGAGACACGTGTCAGAGATTGAAAAATCTTGGTGGTGTAAGAGAATAACCGGCAGATTTTTTTTAAAAAATTAAGATAGATAAATTATTTAATTTTTTAAATTAAAATAAAATATGTAATAATTTAAAATAAATAATTATAAATTATATATTTAAAATAATTTTGATAAACGATCACCAATCAAATTTATACTAAAAAATTTTTCGACTTAGAGGACGAGCGGCAGGTTTTCTGTTTATAAGTGGTGAGTCTGATTGTCGGTTCACAGGTTAGCTGATGAAATGATTGGAAGCTTGGACTGGGAGGGGGCTTGGGTCCGGGCAGGGCAGGCCCCTCTCCCATAATCCCGTTTAGAATATACCTACACCTACAATATTAATAACCCCTTCTCATTTTTTCTTTCCTCTAACGCTGAGTGTTGACCTGACCCTTCAAGTTCAAGTTCAAGTTCAAGTTCAAGTTCAACGACGGGATTTGCCATCTTAAGCCACAACCCCATTGCACTTTCATGGTCTTTGGACTTTGAGGCATCTGGGTCATCCACTTTTTCTGACCGTTTGATGGAGAAATTGTTGATTGGTGTGAGATCGTTGGTGGGGGTAACGTAGGGAAAATGTTGGGTTTTGGGTATTGCCATTATTATAGTTATTGATATTGATGTTGAGGAGTTTTAATGCTGTTTTACGTGTTGACGGGTACAGAGGAATTGTAACGACCTATTTCAACATTAATGCAAAGGAGAAGAAGTCATAAATTAGGGACAAGAGACATTTATGGCGGATGAAGAACCATTTTTGTTTTTGTTTTGGGATCTCACTCTTCTTTATTACTATTGCATTTTTAGAACACATTTAATAGTACAACAATTATTATCATTCATATCTTTTTTATTTCAATTCATTTGAAAAGTTTGATACATAAATAAAGAAAATGAATTTACTATTTTTTTTAAGAATGTAATAATTATTAATTGTTATACTCTTGACCTTTTTTTTCAAACAACTCTTATATTTTTGGTAAAATAATCCTTGACTTTGATCAAAAGCCCGCATAAACGCACTATTAATTAAAAAAATATGTAACAGTTTTTTAATTTCATTAATTTAGTTAAAAAATTTTATGATCAATGCATAAAAAAAAAGTCTGATTGGTTCAAAAAATATACGGAAGATTCCAGAATTAGGTTAATTAATTACTCGTATATATGTTCTTAATGTTTTCTTACCATTTCAATTAAGACAAGTAAATGGATTTTTTTATTGATCAATTAAAATTAATTTTATGGTGTGATTAGGGATGTTAATAGGTAAGATATGAGTAGAGCAAAATATTTTATATTTTTATATTTAGATTTTTATATTATATTTATATTCATATTTAATGAATATTTTAAATTTATTTTTATTTTATATTCACGAATATTTAATAGGTATGAATAATTTTTATATTTATAATTTAAAAAAAAACTAAAAACTAAAAATTTTTTTAGTATTTTTTATTTGTATCTTATATATTTAGATAATTTTTTATAAATATATATGTTAGATGTGAATACGAAACAAGTATTATATTATTTATTTTTATTTTCGTACCAATAAAATTTTAAAATTATATCTATTTTTATTTTTATATTTATAATATAATATTCATCTATGTTTAATCGAATAAAAAATTAAATTTTTATTGAACATGAGTAAAACCTTAAGTTGACTAACTAATAAAATAAAATGAAAGGAAATTTGGTGTACAAGGAAATGGGGATCAATCAACCAAGGTGTGGCCAAAATTGACCTGAATAACCGCACTGCCAATCAAAACTCAAAGATTAAGTCAATTGCATGTTGGAGGGGTTGGTTTTGGGTAGCAACAGAAACCTGATAAGCAACTTTGATTTGAAGTTGGGGAACCTTGACTCGATCGTACTGGCCAAGTTTTGTATCCATATTGCAACCAGTTTCCATCTTTTTTCACCCAATTCATTATTATTAGTTTTAATCCCACACTAATTAAAAAATAAACTTTGTTTAAATAAAGATTAAAAAATTTGAGATTTAATTCAATTGATTTATTTATTTTTATTTAAAAATAATTAGAAAACGAATAAAAAAAATCAAAACTCTTCTTACTTGTAACCTAGACTTTCCTTTTCTTTTAATAATACCATAAATTCATAAATAAATGTCACATAATTTGTCTTAATGTTGTTCATTTTTAATTTCTAGATTTCAATCCAAGGTAAAGTGGTAAGAATATGCGATTGGAGAAAATTTTTTGTCTTAATTAATCAGACATTTAGTATTTTGCTTAAACATTTATATCTAATTAAACCACTTTAGTCATGATCATGACTTTTTGAACAAATCCCAAAATATTTAGAGCATGTTTGACATGGAAAATCTCCTGAAAATTTTTCCATAAATTAAATACCGAGGAGAAGAACTTAATTATGATCAGTATGCTTTCCTGGTAATTTACACTATAGACTGCTGACCCCTTCTTTCCAAGTTACAACTGCCACTAGTTTGCGCAGCTCAAAAACTTTGAATGTTTTACTGACAATTTCAAACATTAAAAATATAAAAATAATATGATTTAAATTTTTAATAAAAATCATAAATAAATTTAACAAAATTAAAAATATATATTTCATATTTTGTATCGACATAAATTATAACACGTAATTTTAATATAAAATATAATATAAATATTTAATTTTTAATATTTTATATGATATAAATACATAAATTATCAAATTTAATTTTTACATAACTAGGCATAATTATTCCTAACTACCTCTTGTTTTTCCCCCAGCAGTAAAGTGTACAAATCCTGATTTTGCATTGATAGCTTGTCCAGAATCTGAAAATCTGTTAGCCTTTCTTTTGTGAGAATTTTTAACTTTGTGAAGCATATTTCCATTTTTTTTTCCTTTCTACAAAAAAAATTGAGAGAAATTAGATATTTGAAATTAAAATGTATATTATATTTGGATGAAAGCACCATTGCAATAACAATGTTTATACCTATTTTCTTGACTCGTACTACACGACCAACAAAAAGCTTTACTTTTTCATTTGTTATCACATTTTGTAAGATATAACTTTTTCCGATATAAAAATTCTTATGGGATGGTTTAAGTCTTGAGTGACAATAACATAGGTTGTTTTTTTTTTTGTATTTTTTTTTTAACTATAAGGGATATAGCTAATGAAAAAGAGGAGGATTTTTTATTCGAATACCAATATATATTTTTTATTTTTTATTATTATTCATTTTTTAAAAGTTGCTATAAACCAACAGCAAATGATAAAAAGCAACGTCATTAATTAAAGATATTCATGGGCCGAGCTTGTACGTTTTAAAGTCAAGTTTAAATTCCGCCCAACTCAATCATTTATATAATATTTTATTTTAAGTATTATTATATTAATATTTAAGTACATTTCAACATAAAATAAATTAATATTTGTTAATAAAATCATATTTTGAGCTATGATAAACTGGATTTTGGACTTGAAAACCTAATATATGTCTAAAACTCAAGCCTGTATTTTACCTTTGTTAGCCTACTTAATAATGAAAAACAATGCGAAAGAAGTGAGTTGACCACTGGAATTATCAACGTAAACCAATGCTTTCTTCAAAAAAAAAAAAAATCTGATAATCAAAATTGTTTACTCAAGCTGTGACAAGCATCTTGACCCTCGTTATATAGGTTGATATATAAAGAGTTTTAAATTATTTTTTTCTCACAAATCTCATTTCATCATTCACCCAAAACTTGAACATAAAATGTTGGTAAAATATTGACTTTTTAGTTTTAGTAATTAGAGTTCAACTCTTAAAAAAAAAGGAAATGTTCAAAAAAAGAAACACAAGTTTGTAATCACTATGACGTTGCCTTAATTAGGGACAACAAATTAAGCTTGGTATATGCTGTAAACAGTTCAAATTTATACAAAATAAAAGGCTGAAAGAGGGTAAGAGATCATTTAATATCATTCTTCAGATAGTGAACATGAAATCTGTCAAAATGGACTTCGATGTCCAACACGAGACAAATAAGCCTTTGAGTCTCTCGAATTATGTTATTCTGATTGAGAATTTCAATCATTTTAGCATTTGTCTATAGAAAATACAAGAAAATAATACCAGCATGAATAGAAACTTTCATTAAAATCTCAAGAAACATCCAAAGCCAAACCGGAGATTTAGAAAAAAAAACAAAGGTTATCTTCTAACCAATATGCTTCACCTAAAAATTAACTTATCTTTCCTTTTTTTTCCTTAATAGTAGTATAGGAAACTCCAATTATACGAATTATTTTTTTATTGACTTTTTTTAGTATTGTTTAACACTAATAGCTAATAGCTTTAGGTTTACTTTTTGGTAACAGCAGATTCCTGATGGCCGATAATTGGTTTGTATTTTGAAAAAAACTGAGCAGAAGCTTTTTCCTTGGAACTGAATATTAGTAGCTATTATTTACTCAATAAACAATTTAAATGCTTATATTGAGGTGGATACTGTTGAAAATACTTTTTCGTTGAATGTCATGTCTTCACACACACACATAAATATATATATATATATATATATAAAATGAAATACCCTTTAAAAGTAAAGAATGGTGTAAGCAACTGGTAAATGTTTGATCATTACAATGTCGACACTATGATCACTTAAAAGTAAAAAAATCAATCCATTCTTTCATGATGTTTTGGAGTTGTCTCGTACATAAAACAAACTCTAAAATGAAATAGGAATATTAATTTAAGTAGCAGTAAAGTTTATTTTTGTTTGAATTTAAATTCATTAAAA